AGTTAAAGTCCATATTCTTGATGTTGGCATGCAAAAGGCTGTTTACATTCTGGCCCAAGAGCAGTCCTTTAATCTGAGGTGTTGCCACTCCACCTCATCTGTCCTGTGCTTTAGGGCCCCTATATTTCTCACTGCTCTCCAACTTATTATGGCCATCATTTATTTTATTCCTCTTTGCCTGTGTACCTTGCTTTGTCCATAATCCTTCTGTCTCAAACTGCTCATCTGCTAAGACCCAGCTCCTTTGCCTCCTTGAGAAGCCTTCCTTGTTTTCCTTTCCTTGACTCCCAGCAGCATTTGGTTTGAACTCTGTTCTGGCACTTAACATATTGAGTCATAAGTTCTCTGTTCACTTTGTTTTTCACTTGGCTAACCTCCTGTGGAGTAGCAACTCTCCTGATCCTGGGTAGGGGAGTTGGTGCAGGAGGTGCTATGAGCAGTGTGATAGTCTGATTTGGAGCTGAGCAGACCTGGTTGAATTCCTAGTGGGTACAAGTAAGGCTGGTAGATATGTGTTCATAATGTAAATAAGACTGAGTAGACCAAAGGCTGCATGAAGTGGATGACTGGATGGAGTGTTTCGGACCATGGTCCTTGATATTTTATGGATTGAAAGTATTAGGTGACACTGATGGAACACATGCGGGCATTGAGGAAGCCAGGCTTCTTGGTCCCAATTTTCTTATGGCTTTGATGCTCTTCTTGTGCCATGAATAGGCTTAACTCAGATTCTTCACAAGAATAGGATTTGTAACTGAGTCACAATCCATTTTTTGCCTTTTTATTTCTAGTGTAGTTGATGGGGCTAGTCCTTAGGGCAGCAGTCCCCAACAAATAACAAAGGAATTTGTTTGCAGAGGTTTAGACCTCTTAAGTATCTTCTTTTCCCAGCCCATACCACGTTGCCCAGGTTGGCCTTGAATTTTAGATCCTCCTGCCTCAGCCTCCCTCCTAGCTGGGATTATAAAGGCATGTGCCACTGTGTCTACTAGACTTCTTATTTGTATAATTAATGCCAGGTAGTACTCCAGTATGAGCTTGCAGTGAGATGAGGAAGATATRTGAGTCCTCTACAGGGCTGCTTTCTAGATTGGTCCTTAAACTCCTGCCCCAGCTGGGTGCATCTCTGTGACCGCAGAGCACTTACCTCATTGTAGTGTAAATCTGTCTCTGAAGCTGCTGCTGCTGCTTGCTGCTGCTTTTTTTTTTTTTTTTAATATTTTTTTTTTAGTTGTAGTTGGACTCAATATCTTTATTTTATTTATTTATATTTTTATGTGGTGCTGAGATAGAATCCAGCGCCTCATATCGCTGATCGAAGGCTGAGCATTGAGGTCCTAGTGCCAAGCTATCCTGTGTGACCTAGCCCATCCTCCTGGGTGAGATTAAAGTATACAGGATCTCCCTGGCAAAGCCTTTTGAGGTCAGGAAGGAAGGTCTTGCATAAACAAAAGGTGATAGTGTTAACAATATTGTTACTAATTATTTTCTAGCATTGAATTCATGTGGTTAAATGATCTGCCAGGTGCTTGGATTCAACTCTCTTCCCTTCTAGCCTTTTTATTTTCTAATAACAGGCTCCTATGCCAGCAGGAAGGGGTTAAAAGAGGAGGTAGTTTTTCTTCCTTAATTAACATCTCCTAAAAGTCTTGCTGGCCTCCTCTGTTATTCTTTAAGGCCTTTCAGTGCTGATGCAACCTGCTGAGTTGTATGGGTAGTCCCAACTAGGTGTGCTCACTGCTTGGGGGGATGGGGCTGCTTGTGGCAGGATGGGGATAACTACAACTTTTGTCAATGCCCAGTTGAATCAAAAGGATGAAACCAATAGCTAAAAGTGAAGTGAAGAAATTTCCCCTGGGCTCTACCCTTTGTCTCTCAGTGTGGGAGTATGCATTGCATAATGGCATAGCTTTGCTGATGGGTCTTGGTGGGAGTGATAAATTGCATTGTTTGTTAAGCAGACCTGAAAGGAGGTTGGATCAGCCAGCCTGACTGGATTGTGTTGTGTGCATTTAGGCCTCAGAAGGACTGGATCTCATTAGCAGGCATTGCGGCACACACCTGTAATCCCAGCAACTCAGGAGACTGGCAGAGGATCATAAGTTCAAGGCTAACCTCTACAATTTAGTCTCAAAATAAAAATTAAAAAGGACTGGGAATGTCGCTCAGTGGTAAAGCACCCCTGGATTCAATCCCCAGTACCAATAAAATAAAATAAATAGAAGGACCAAGTTTCTCTTGGACTGGCTCTGAGCACTAGAAAGGGACTGCATTGTTGGTTACTATCTTAGAAGTACCAACGGTCTACTAGATGACATGTAAAATCTGTAAAGGACGTGGCCCCCTCTTTGTGAGAAGTTTCTGTGCTCTTCCAGTGAACTGGATCAGGGAACTTGGCACTATCTCCTGAGAAGGGAGGGTCCTCCTCCTGGGAAGTCAGAGTAGACCTCCCAAGCCCCAGTATTCCACTCAGCTAATTAGTAGGATGGAACTCTTTTTTTTTTTTTTTTTTTTTTTAAAGATAGAGGGGAGAGAGAGAGAGAGAATATTTTTAATATTTATTTTTTAGTTTTCGGCAGACGCAACATCTTTGTTTGTATGTGGTGCTGAGGATTGAACCCGGGCCGCACGCATGCCAGGCGAGCACGCTACTGCTTGAGCCACATCTCCAGCCCCAGTAGGATGGAACTCTGAGCTAATATTTGAGTTTCTGAGCGTTGGTCTCTGTACCATCTCAGTCTTCCTGATGGGGAATTCAACCTTAAAAGCTTTTGAGGGTCTTGCAATGAGGGCAGAATTGGCCAGTGGCTGACTCATGCCTGTGCCAGCAGAGTGCATACTAACTGACTGGACAGGTCAGTTTTCTGTGCTTTGCAGTGGAATTAAAGACAGGACAGGGTTCTGTCCCAGTACTGCCCTTGTTTTGGGCAAGCTGCTTGTTTTCTCTGAACCTGAAATGGGAGAAATCCAGCTGTTCTGTAAGAATCAACAGAAATACAGTGGAAGTGACACTGTTTCCAGAATGGTAAAATGTAGTATAGATGGAGGAGTTTTGTCTGTCTAGGGACTGTTGGTTTTCATCATAAACACAATGAATATCTCTTGTAGAAAAATACCAATCCTACAGAAAAATAAACAAAATTAAAAAATAAGACCCTCCCTTTAGTTCCCACTGCTCCTAATCCCCTTCCCTAATGATAGGGAACCAGTATTCATCATTTATCACTGAGAAGTTTCTAGTCATTTTTGTATTCTTCTAGACATTCCTCAGCACTTATCACCCTTAAAAACAAATACACCACAGTACTAATGCATCCTGTTCTTCCACTGCTCTGTTCTCTTAAGTTGCCCAGGAGTAGATTAGACCCTGTGGGAGCCTCTGGGTAGCCTGGTAGAGTGTCCTCCCTAGCATAGGGGGTCTTCTAGGGCTTGCTCCCTTTTACTGTTTCAGTGTAGCAAGAGGCCCTGACTTCTAAAACTGTGAATTATCCAGGTTACTTGCTGCATCTACCATTTGAAAGCAAACCTTGTCTGACTGGTGTTTTTTTAGAGTTCTTAGATCTTTTCAGAGTGAGGGTTTTGAAAGTCGCCTATCAGTAGATGGGTTTTCTAATGAGTCTATGAAAATGGTCATGGCCTACAGAAGAGTTGTGTCTATCCTATAGATGGTTGTCTCTTGTCTAAGTAACACCTTGGTCATTTTGAGCTCTGGGACTATAGTTAAACATATATAGGGATCCCACTTGGTGGGCAGTTGTAGAGCCTATTAGAGGATTTTCCTGCCTTCATGAATCTTGACCCTGGGCTTGGGAGAAGGACAGGCCCATGCATGGGGTTGGGGTGATAACTAGTCTTCCCTTTTCACCAGTGTCATCACAGAGCCTACAGGGTTTCCTAGAATAGGAAAGAGAACCCCTTTCCTGGCTTTCCTTGTGTTTGCAGGAATTATGTGCTGTACATTTCCTGTCCTGTTGCCCCAGAGGACACATCCTGTAGGACTCCACTGCTGTGGAGGCATTTGCCTTGCGTTTTTCTAAACTGGGATGTGTGTCACTTTCTTCCTGGTGCCTCTGGAATCTTCAGGAAAGAGTTGCTACTGTTCTCCAGCTTGCTGTGTTGGGCAGACTAGCCACCCTCTGCATTACTCCTTCTGAGAGGGGAGAATAGCCCCTTTTGGAGTCTGGGGAGCCTGGCAGTAGCCTTCATCCTTGCTCTGCAGGATGGTTGCCTGGGAAGTGCCATCCCCCTGGCCCTCTCAGAAACTGTAAGTAGCAGTGTGCCACCCCTTCCTTTGACTGACCCTGCTCTAGGCTGGGTCACACACTACTCCATTGTGCTGTGCTTTCCCATATAGCTCTTGTCACTGCCTCTGGTCCTCAGCTGGTTCTCTCCTAGTCCCTTCCCTCAGAGCCTGTGGGAGGTAGTGGGATGCACTGTGCTGGYACAGGCATGAGACGGGTGGCAGCTGCAGCTGTGGGGGCTTTGTTCTTATGACCCAGTATTCAGAGTCCTAGTGCAGCCTGGCATCAGCGACTAGGGAATAGAGAGACTGGGAGCTGTGTTCTCTTCCATAACAGATGTCTTCTCTTTCTATTTTTTATTTTTAAAAATTTGGGGGTGCTCTACCACTGAGCTCCATCCTAGCCCTTGTTATTTTTTATTTTGTGGCAGGGTCACTTTGTATGTTGCTGAGGCTGGCCTCCAACTTGTGTTCCTTCTGTCTCTGCCTCCTGAATTGCTGGTATTACAGGAGTGCACCACAGTGCCTGGCTTTTTTCTTTCTTTTGAACAATCAGAAGCTTGTTGTCTGGCTCAGCAAGCTGGACTCCCTGCTTGCCTGAGGCAGAGTGTTCTGTTTTACCTGGCTTCCTTTCTGGGTGGCACAAAGCTCTGAAGGGTCAGGTAGTGAATCCAGAGGTGGTTCTGCAATATACTGGAGAGTGCTGTGTGCACCTGCGGGCATCCCACAGCTTGGCCCTTCCTTTGCTCTCTCTTTGCAGCTCCGGAGTTGGGCTGCTCACAAACCAAGCTGTCTGTTTATATGGAGTGCCTGGAGGGCGTCTGCCATGAGTCTGTCACTAACAGCAATAACCAGGAGAGCTGGCTGGTTGGGGAGAAGACACTAACCCCGTGAGTCTAACCTTGGCCAGCTAACCCATCCTGGGGTATCACCAGCAGTGTCTCTCCTCCATTCTTTTCCCAACCTAACTGCTTCCTCTCCTTAGCTTATTTGGTGTCATCTCCCAATCTCCCAGCTGTGGGTGGGGATGTGCCCCCCTTCATAGCCAGGACAGTGAGCTGTCCTGTATATATCACCTGCCCATCTGCCAGCCTGCTGCTGGACTCTTCAGCACCCCTTTCCCACTCCCCTCAGTACTGTGCTCCTCGGTTCTCTTTCAAAACAGAATTGGATGGAATTTCCATTCAGTCTATGCTTTTAGCACCGCAGAGTTTGAGGTATCCCCTGGTTACCATGCTGCTTCTGCTGCTCATGCATCATGTACAGCTGAAGCTAGATGGAACGATATTTTTCTTTAGACCAAGCATTTCCTCCTTTTGTCAAGAGCAGAAGGTTGGAGAGTGTCTCCATTACTCTCATAGTAGGATAAGAAGTTAGGATCAACTGCCAGGTTCTCTTCTGGGTGGAGAGGTTGAGTAGAATGTTGCCGGGGCACTGGGAATGTCCCTGGGCAGAAAATAAAAGCTACTTTAACTGAAAGCTGGAACCCAGAACCAGGTACCTGTCTGAGATGTAGCTCCCATTGGCGACTGTCACTCTGGGAGGTGGAGCTGGTAGAGTTGGGGCCCCTGCCTACTTCCACATTTGGAACTTCAGGTGGACTTTAGCCGAGAAGTACTGAGAAGGGCGCCTCAGCCAGAGAGGCAAGACTTGGCTTTGGACTCCACATTGTGCCCAGAAAAGGTCCTGGCCTCAGTGGGAGATTGGTGAGTGCTGACTGGCATAGAGAGGCTTCCACCCTTGGGAGCCTTTCTTCCTCCAGGCTTGAGAGGGAAAGAGGGTTCTGGAGATATCGGGAAGGCCAGCTGCGTGGTGCTTTCTGCTGATCTGTACAGCTCTTTAGAAAGACTGTTTCTAGGCTCTGGGAGGCAGTGTAGTGCTGGGCAGGCTGGCCAGGGGAGCTGGAGATTCTCAGGCCCTTGAGATGGACTCTGTTCCTGTTGGGCTGGGAGGGAGGAGACAGGGACCTGACTAATAGCTTGGGGTGGTTGTGTATAAATGGAAGGGGTGCAGGGAATTTTTTTTTTTTTTTTTTTTTTTTTTAGCAAGCTGGAGGGATTTTGGGCCTAGCTCTGATCAGGAAAGCAGAAAAGACCTGGAGTTGTACCTTCTTTGAATTATGAAATGAGCTTTAGTGATTCTAGTGAGGCCTGGTTTAGGGACATTCATACAGAAAAGGCATTGAGAATAATGTCAGCTGCTGGCTGTGAACTCAGGGACTTTTTGGTTCTCCCTTTATTGTGGGGAGCTTGGACCATCATCAAGCCTTTAACTGTTTTGTTCCTATTAAGTGTGTGCTTAGCTGAGGGTCAGGTGGATAGACTAGAGGTGTTTGCTCAGGTGGGGAGCCAGATGAGCTCTCACAGTTCACTAGCACTAGTGCTGAATCCTCAGGATTATTCCGGGGCAGAATGATTACTGTCCTTTGGCTTTCAAAACCTTGTCAGTCTGTTCACTTTAGAGTAGGCAGAGAGCCAGGAAAGGACTGCAGGCAGCTGGTCCCAAGAGGGTGAGGTTGTACTTTCCCAGAGGGGTGGTAGGCATAGTTGTTGGAGGAGCAGAAGAGCTGGTCCGGGCACAGACTGGCATCTTCCATCCTACTCATCTAACCTGAGCAGAACCTCTGCCCAGGCCCCACCCCATGAACTGTTGGCTGCCTGCCTGCCACGCGCCCAGGATTGCTGAGGGCTTTGCTCATGTATCTTAGGAACAGCTGCAGGCCGGAAACTGGGGGCTGGTGGCAAGTGGGAGGGGCACCAGGGGGAGACTGGAGATGGCTGAACCCAGCTTTCCTAGGATCAGCTTGCCATGCTGGGGGAACTGTTCTGCCTCTTATACAGGCAGTCAGGGTGGAGAGGGACTATATTGTGGCACAGGATGGTGGCAATCTTCATAAGCAATCCACAGACCACTGTTGGGTCACTTGATCACAGGGCTGGCCCTTGCAAGATGGTGGTTTGTTTTTTGGACTTTAGTTGGAGGCAGAGCTTGAATTTCAGAGGCTCAAGAAGCAGCCAGGCTTTTGTGGGAAGGGTTATCCTACCCCACAAAGGTGTGCAACTCCCACTCCACATCAAGGCTAAAGACTCAGAGCAGTTCCTGAGTTGGCCCCATTCTCTGTGTGATTAGACTAGTTGTGTTTTAGTGTTTGATGAGGGGCTTTTGGAAGGGCTTATGTGGTTTATTTATCTCTTGCTGGTTTGGAGGGAATAGGCAACACACAGCATACCCAGCAAGTTCTGCAATGAGGCTGCTTTTCCTTTTATTTCAAAAGCAGTAGTAATTACTAGCCTATGTTGTACCTTCTTTGAATTATGAAGAAGAGTTCTAGTGATTTTTGTGGTGATGTGTGAGCCCTCCCTGAGTCAGAAGATTGGGTTCATTGACCCTTTGCTTGCTTGAATTATTGATATCTGTGAGCAGAAAGGCTTATCAGTAGATTCAGAAATGCTCTGAGCCCAGATAAACTGTTGGGGCATAATATCTTAAAGGAGGGGCTGGTGATGTGGGTAGTAGGGAGCCAGTCAGTCCCTGTGGGGCAGCTGATCCTGGGTCAGTGGAGTTATGCAGTGTGGTAGTGCAGAGATGTTCTGGGGGAGCTGGAGATGTTTGAAGAGGGAAGGTTGAAAATCTAAAAAGCCACATCCATTGTGGATTTGTTCCTGTCTCCCTCTCCTGGGCCACTGTAGAGGTGGCCTCTGAGACCTCAGTGGGCAGACTGCAGCCGCATACTCAGACCTCCTTCCTCTCCTATACTTTGCTAGGCCTTGGGCAGATCCCAGAAAGGACCGCAGAGGGAGTGGGAGAGCATCCATGTGCCTCTTGTGCTTGAACCTTTTTCCTGTTGCCTCCTGAGAGGATGTTTGCTGGGAGGAGTAGTAAGGATAGGGGTTTGGAAAGAATCAGGATTCTGAGAGGTTTTTCTCTTATCCCACTAACTCCAACGGTAGCCATCTCTAGCTACAATGGAAGCCCCAGTCATAAGCACATATCCACAGAAGGGGGCAGGTGTGAATCCCATCTGGCTAGATGAAGCTTGGCACACTTTTTTGTCCTTTGAGTAAAGAACACTGCTCAGCCAGCTTCTGGTACAGATTATGCCTTCCATCTATCTCTGTACTCTGCTCAGCTGTTCAGTGGGTTCATAGTGCAGGTTCCTGTGCATGCTGAGTCCCATTTCTAATGAAAGTAGACTTTGTTCTCTGAAGGCAACTAATCGTGCCCCATGGGCTGTAATCAGGGAAAAGGTATTTAATACGGGGCAGGTGGCAACAGGCGGCAGATTGCAACATGGCAATTAGGAAGCTATCACCCCCACCCCTTGCCCTGGCCCCAGCAGATATGAGATACTCTCTCCTTCCGAACTGATTTTTGAGTTAAGTGAAAAATGAGTGCCATGAAGCAGAGGAAGGAGGTGGAGCTGAGGAGGGGTGGAGTAGGGGTGGTGAAGGACTAGGAGAGCCCCTTTTCGGCTCACTTCACCTTCAGGGAATGGGGAGGGGTGGCTGCTACCCTGGGTGTCTCCATCAACAGTGCTGGCAGGTCGATCTGAAGGTGCCCCAAGCCAGATCCAGTCACCCAGGGTTCCCACCTGGAAAGGCCTCAGCCCTTCTCTGAGGGCACAGCTATTATAATAGAGACCCAACACAACTTGGTAATCTCACATCCTGGGTCATCTGCCCCAGTTCCCTGAGACTCAGGTGAGTTGGATGGGGATGGGAGTGGAAAGCTTCCCTATTTATTGCCAGACCTTCTAGAAGACCGTTTTTTTTTTTTTTTTTGGTGGCACCCTGGAGCCCCACTCAGCACCTAGAGGCCAAGAGGCCCCAGAAGCTACATTTGGCTGCAGCTTGCTTGTCCCAGCCCGTGGCCCATTCTTAGTTTGTCCTGCTGCTTTCTGTGGAGACCTCAGCACAGGATTGGGAGTCCTCCTCAGGCTGAAATACTCCAGAGCAACCTGGGAAACTTTTGGATGAAGGAGATGTGGCTGGTGGAGTCTTCCTGGTGATACTATTCCAATGCCACCAGTTCATCCCTTTTGTCTTTTCTCATCTTGGGGAAACCTGGTTTCCAGCTGTTTCTCACTCTTCCTTGGGTCTGTTCTTAGTCTAGAAGAGTGGGCTGCCTGGCCCTTTGTGTTCCTTTTCTGTGCCGGAATTATGAGCCTCTTGTTGACTGGATCTGAGGCACTTAGCAGATTTTAGGAGTTAGAGCTAGGGCCTGGTGTCCCAACATGCCCTGGTATTTATGGACAGGGGGCAGGGAGTGGCACAGATCTCCCTGATGGATTTGGGTTGGAGAATACTGCAGGTGCCCCAGTATATTGTCTTTCCCATGAGCATTACTTTCTGCTTCCTTGGTTAGGTGTGTTCCCCATCCTGTGACTGTGGCATGTTTGATGAGAGTAGGCCCTGGCTAGGAGAAAACAACCTCTCACCACACCCTGTATCCCCAGACTCCCTGTCTGCATTTACTGTCCATCTCACTGCCAGCTGTACCCACACTGTTCTCTATTCAGCAAGCTAGATGTTCCTAGCTAGAAAAGCCATAGAAATAAATGTGTGCTTAGCTGGGAGGAGGATCTTAAGGTCTGAGGTGGGATGAACTATATTATGTGTGGGGCCTGCAGTGAGGCAGCTCTGCCTGCAGGTAAGGTTATCAGGTACCTGGGCATATCCATGTCCTCCCTGCCCCCACTCCCACTCCACCACTCACACAAGTGTTCTGGTACCTAGAGGATAGCGTGAGCCTTGGCAGGAATAAGGATAGGAAAGTAAAGAAGAGGCTGAGAATAGAGAAAGGAGGAGCATGTCAGGTGAAAGGGGCACCTTAGCTGACCAAGGAGGAAAAGGGGAAGAATGTAGTGACCTGGTTCCTCTGGAAAGGAGAGAGATATAGAGACTAACTTCTGGGAGCCTTCCACTGGGTTTCTTTTTCTTTTTTAATTTTTAAGATACATATTGGATCTTTGTTTTATTCATTTATTTATAAGTAGTGCTGAGAATCGAACCCCGGGCCTCACACATGCTAGGCAAGTGCTGTACCACTGAGCTGTAATCCCAGCCCTACTACATTGGGTTTCTTTCTTTCTTTTCTTTTTTTTTTTTTTTTTTTTTTTTTTTAATATTCATTCTTAAGTTTTAGGTGGACTCAGTATCTGTATTTTACATTTATGTGGTACTGAGGATCGAACCCAGTGCCTTGTGCATGCTAGGCAAGCACTCTACCAATGAGCCACAACCCCAGCTCCACTACCTTGGGTTTCTATAAGCTCTCAACTGCCTGTCTTATTCTTGGGTCCCTGGCCCTTTCGTTTTCCAACTCGGTATGCACATCCACACATATATCCACTGAGTATCAGGGTCCAGGTATTCAGGCTGCTTTGGTACTTTGTGGGCTTCTCCTCAGGCCATGGGAGCCCAAACTCCAGGGCTTCTGGAGGGACAGCCTCAGGGCACATGTGGCAGTGACTTGTTTGCTCCCCCACACTCCAGGAATGTACTGTCCTTTCAGGCCCGCCTGGATTCCTGTGTAGGGAGTCAGCCCAACAGAGCATGCTGCCTATACCCTGTGGGGACACGTTTTTGCCTCTCATAAGAGGGGTGGAGGCTGGCGGCTCGTGCCTGTGCTGCCACACCCCAGCTCCCCCCAAAACCCCAGACCAGGGACCAGACCGAAGAGAGACTTCTGCTTTCCCGCCCTTCCTGCCCCCACCCCATTCTTCCTGCCCCAGGCCCTGTTGGAGTCCTGGCTAGGACATGTCCTGACACTAGGAACACATGCTTTAGCCTGCAAGGCTTCCCTCTGCCCCCAGCTCTGTTTAGGTTGATGGGGGTGGGAAGAGATTGTTTTTTATGCCCAGAAGGCCACCTAAGGTTACTACTTCCATGGATCACTGTGGTGGCTGCTGCCCCCATGCTGTAGCCTAGTTTATTACAGATGGGAGCCAGGAAGGACACTGGGTAGATCTTGGAACCACAAAACCTGGAGGGGACCTCACAGGTCACTCTGTGGAGCCACATCGGCGTAGATGCAGAGCAGGTTTATACATTGAGAAAGGGAGTTAGCCAGAGACCCACAGTGTGCCAGAGTAGCTCTGAGCCTGGAACCAGAGGTCTCAGCTTCTCTGCTGGGGTTTTCTGTAGCAGTGTTTCTCAGCCTCAGCACTGCCGACCCTTGCTGTTGATAATGCTTTGTTGGGGTGTCCTGTGCATTGTGGGATGATTAGCAGCATCCCTGACCTCCACCCACTAGGTGCCAGTAGTACACACCTCCATCAGATTTAATTTTTTTTTTTTTAGTTGTAGGTGGACACAATATCTTTATTTTATTTATTTATTTTTATGTGGTGCTGAGGATCGAACCCAGCACCTTGCACGTGCTAGGTGAGCGCTCTACCACTGAGCCACAACCCCAGCCCTCCAGATTTTGACAACCAAAAGTGTCTCCAGATATTTGCCAGATGTCCTCAGGGGAAGAAGATGAGCAAAATTGTCTAAATTACTGCCTTTCAGATTTTATTTCTTGGACCTACCTTTCCTCATTGCCAAGTCTGTTGACCACCATTACACAGAAGTGATCTTTAGGTTCATTGTGAAATAGTTCCAGGAACTCCCTTTCCAGCATCTTCTCTGCCCATCTTCTTGTATCTCTGCTAGGCTTTTTCATTGTGTTATCGATTATAACCCATGTTCCCTAAATCTCTTGTTTCCAGACTCTGAGAGGCCTGGGAGATGAATAGGACAGCTGCAAGGTGGGGATAGGGACAGGATAGAACCCAATCTATTCCAGAGTCAGGCACATGGTAGGCTGGGACCATGAAGTTGTGTGAGGAGAGATGTCTTGTCTGGAGAAAGGAGGGAACCTAGTGTCTCGGTCATCATCTGCCTCTACCACTTCTCCCTCAAGACCACCGTTTGATGTCCTTGCCTGGCTTTCCCTGGGGCCTTCTATGTCCTGAACTGGGCAAGCAGGCCTGTGGCACTGACAGACAGGCGCTGACACCTGGTTTCCACTTTCTTCCCTTCTCTGGTTTCAGGAGCTCTTGGCTAGAGGAAGTGGAGGGGTTGTGGGATGCAGAGAACCGAGGGCTAACTCTTGGACAGCGGAACGGAGAGAGCTGCTGACGAACAGACGGTATGTTCCTGACGAGGCCTGTGTCCCTCACTTGGATCTCTTCTAGGGGAGCTGGTAGGTGAGGGGGCAGGCAGGTAGGCAGATATCCTGTCTTGGTGGAAGCTGGTGAAAAGAGAGTGGAAAGGCCAGAAGGGCTTGGCCTTCAGTGGCAGTGGCCAGGGAGCTCTCTCAAGCCTGGAGATCCCCACCAAGGAGCCTGGGTTGAGTGAACATCTTCAAACCCTGTGTTTGCTTACAATGTTTTAAAAAGTAAGCATTTTTTTTTTTTTAGAGAATTTTTTTTAATATTTATTTTTTTTAGTTTTTCGGCGGACACAACATCTTTGTTTGTATGTGGTGCTGAGGATCTAACCCAGGCCGCACGCATGCCAGGCGAGCACGCTACCGCTTGAGCCACATCCCCAGCCCCAAAAGTAAGCATTTTTTTTGAAGTTATTTTTTTAATATACATTTATTTATTTTTGTGTGGTGCTGAGAATCGAACCCAGGGCCTTGCACGTGCTGGGTGAGTGCTCTACTGCTGAGGCACAACCCCAGCCCTAAAAAGTAAGCATTTACTGAGCATTTCTTAACAGGTGGGCACTGTTCTTAGTGCCTTAGATAATCTCTACAGCAACCCTGTGAAATTGGTGCTGCTCAGAACTGCCCCAGTATAGAGTTGCGGAAACATTTAAACAGAGAGTAGTTTTCCCTCTGCAGTCCCTTCCACTTTCAAGGGAAAGCAGTTGACTGTTCTTGAGTTCCTACCCCACTCTTACAGCAAGGTCCACTTGTTCTGGTGTCCAGGATTTGGGCCCTGCCTTTCCTGCCTGTCTGTTCCCTGTGGGACCCAGTCCCCGTCCCCCAGCACTGCCCTGACTTATAGGGACCAACACATCAAAGTCCAGCCCTTCTAATGACCCCAACAATGGCCCAGGCCTATCATCCTATATGTTGGCACCAAAATATGTCCCCTTTGATCATTATTTTTTCCTCTCAATCCAAAGACCTCTTAACCACATTTTTGAACCTTTTCCTTCCTGGCTTCCCCTCAGAAAGTGGAGGAGCCCACACCTCCCAGAATGACCAGTGCAGCCCCTGCCAAGAAACCCTACCGTAAGGCACCGCCGGAGCATCGGGAGCTGCGGCTCGAAATTCCTGGGTCCCGACTGGAACAGGAGGTCAGTAAGACTGGTACCCGAGTCCTGGCTGGCAAGAGCAGGTCCCTGAGGCTGGGTGTCCGGCTGACTTCTCCTGTCTGAGCTACTGGTTCCCCGAGTTGGGCTGAGCATGTGGCAGTGCTGATTATACAGGCCTAGGGTTTCCTAGTGCAGCAGTCCTCATATGGGAAATGCAGCCTTATGGGGGACTATAGTCCATATGCCAGGGAACCCCAGAGCCATCAGAGCTTAGCAAGAGTGTTCCCGTACAGTATTATTCTCCTTTCGAGAGGCAGCCCACCAGACTCTCTAGCCCTCTGTAGTGGAGAAGAGCCATTCAACCAGAGCACCTGCTCTTTATTGTCACCAGGAATTCTGGCCCCTCCTCTAGCTTTATTTTGTTTGGCTCATATGTGTTAAACATATACTTCTTTCCAGGAACTGTGTTAGGTCCAGACTCTGCTCTTGGAAGGCATATAGTTAACAGCATACTCCAGGTTAGCTCTTCTCCCTTTTTAAGCCTCCTGAGAGGATGAGGCAAGTGTTGTGGTGGTTGACTGTCCTTGCTGCCCTGCCTCCACAGCACATGGAACATGTTTAAAGAACTTGAAATTCAACAGACGCTGAGCATCAGTGTATATGCTGCACATGTACATGGTGCACATGGCCCACCAGTGTACAAAATGCCATTGTTTTTCCCTTTCAGTTCAGGGAGCATTAGATAAAAATGCCAGCTATTATTGTAGGTGCCACCTGGTGGGCATCCCCCAGTCTTATAAGTTGAGGGAAATAAGGCTTAGTGAAGTTAAGGTTGTATAACCAGTATGCAGTGGAACAGAGTCAAATTCAGGTGTCATTGGCTCCAAAGTCCATGATCTGAGCCACCCACCTCATTTTCTTGCCTCTAACTACAGTTCTGTTGGAGTTAGGTTCATTTGGAGTAGGCCCTTCACATTTCCTTCCTGCTGTACATAGCCTTTGCCTGCTGTGCTATATAGTTGCCCCAGCTCTGACTCTTGAGCCATTGGGGTTTGGGGAAGATGGTACAGGAGGTTAAAAACATCCTCTCATTTAAGATTAGCCCAAAGGCTCTCCTTCACCCATGCATTTATTCTTCCTGAGCCTTCAAGGTCCTGATTTTGTCCTTATCTTCCCCACAGAGGATTGAGAAGACTTTGGTAAAACTCAGAATTCTTCTGTAGTTTGGCCTGACTTATTCATTTCTCTGGAAGGTCTCTGCCATGCTTATGTGGAGACAGGGCCCGTGAAGAACCCAGTGGATAGTTGAGAGGTTCCCTCCTGGGGAGAGGTAGCATGGGTACCAGGATCCATTTGAAAAATTATTCTAGGATTAAGAGTGAAGGTTGGAAGGAGTTCTAGAGTCTTCTAGCTGGCACAGGAGAGAGTAATCTAGGCTTGTCTGGGCATTACTGGATTGCATTCATCTCTRGAAGGCCCTTAACTCTCTTCTGTGAGAGTCTTTGGACTTTAGACATGGCCCTTTTCAGGGCTGTTTGGAGAGGGGACCATCTAGGAGGCCATTGGTCCAGAGCTGAGCCTCAAGCTTATGTTCTTTTTTGTTCAGGAGCCCCTGACTGATGCAGAGAGAATGAAGTGAGTATCTGCTGCCTGTGATACTGCCTGCCTTGACTGTCCTTCTTAGCTCCAGGTTAGGCTACTCATACAGTCAGACTTTCCTTGGATTAGGGGAGTAGAGGTAAATGGGGTGTTTTAGGAACTCTGGGATGTCGGTTGATGTTCTGGATATTTTTTCTGGAAAAGGGAGTTTTGTTGTGTGGGATTCCAGAGAACCTGGAATGAGGAGGTGGATGGGTCTAAGGGGCCTGCTCTTGCCAAGCAGCCCCTCCCCAAGTCCTGTCCAGAGAGAACAGAATGATCTCTTGTGCCAGCTGCCCCCATATGGCCCTTTCTGATAGCCACACAAGAACTCTGGAGAGGAGGGCAGTGCTCGGCTGGATTTCCGCAGGATTAATAATGGAGAAGCCTGATTGTGCAGTGAGGAAACTGGAGCTGGGGGGTTTGGTGGCTGGCTGGCTGGCTTAGGTGGTAACAAGAGACAGGTTGGGAGCTCTGCCCCATCCAATTCTGTCCTGTTTTCCTGGTTTTCTTCTGTAATAGTTGGAGGAGTGGAGTGTCCCCTCCCATCCCCTCTCCCTCCCTTACCATCCAACTCAGGTTCTGTTCTCAGGTCCAGCAGGCCTGTGGAACTTGCTGCCCTCAACTTGAGCTGAAGCTCTAGGAATCCCTCTGCTTTCAGTTGTCCGCCCCTCCTTTCAGTTGCCTGTCCCCATATCATCCCTCGCCTTCTTTCTTGAGCTCCACCCAAAACTCCACGACTGGCTCTTCTCTCTCTGAGGCCCCTCTGTATCTTCCTGCATCCTAGGCTTTTGCAGCAAGAGAATGAAGAGCTTCGTCGGCGTCTGGCCTCTGCCACCAGACGCACTGAAGCCCTGGAGCGTGAGCTGGAAATTGGGCAAGACTGCCTGGAGCTGGAGCTAGGCCAGAGCCGCGAGGAGCTGGACAAGTTTAAGGACAAATTCCGCAGGTGTGATCCAGGGGTCAGAGGCAAATGAGCGTTTTTGTGTTCACAGGATGTTAGCTGGAAGAGGCCTCAGAGATGACCTGATTCTGATTAGAAAACTGATGTTCTGGGAGAGGTTCTAGGAAATTGATTTGCCCATGATCCAAGTGGAGGAGGAACTGAGTAGGGCCTGAAAAACTAGATCTTGACCAGGTGTCTGCCTTGTATTCCTCTTCAGGCTGCAGAACAGTTATACGGCTTCCCAGCGGACCAACCAGGAGCTGGAGGACAAGTTGCATACACTGGTAACGTGTCCAGGAGGATGATTTGGTTAGCACTGTGCTCACAGTGTAGCAGGGGGCCAGGACTTGCCAGGAAAATGCCATTCTGCCCTGGGATTTAGGAGGGATGGAAGTGGGGCAGTGGTGGGGAGGGAACCGCAGTGTGCTATGCACGTGGGGACTGTCTTAATGCTCACACTGTTTCTCTTCTCTCCTCGTCTCCCCCTCATGCTGCCACCGTTGCTGCTGCATTCTCCTCTCAGGCCTCTCTTAGCCACAGCTGGATTTTTGCAGTTGCGTCTGAGTTTGTGTGTTTTTTCCCTTGCCCTGGCCTCCTTAGCCAAATTTTGGGATTGGGGGGGTCCTGGCTATTTCCCTCTACCCCCTGAGGGCACTACCTCTTGCCTCTCCCTATGTATGTGAGGCTCATTTGGTAATTAATGCCTCCCTCCTGGAAGAGGGCTGGGGCTTCTGCCCTTGGCTCTGGCAGATACTGATGTCACCATGGAATACTTCCTGGCTGCAGTGACAGCAGGCTCAGCTGTTTGATGGGAGGGGAGGCTATAGATCCAGTCCATGAACTGAAGATCAGAAGGCTACTTTTGAACCTGCAACTCCCTTCCTCCCCAATCATCTAATCTCACAGGCATCTCAGCTGTCACCCAGCCCCCTTCCCTCTTCCTAGTCCTGTCCTGGAAATGCTGCACACAGGTGGCAGTTAGTCTCTGAGGTACCAACTGCCTTGACTAGTGCCTAGAGGCCCTCAAACTCCCTCAGTGAATGGACAGTTCTTACACTGCCTCTGTCCTGGGCCCACATGGCCCCACCCACAGCCACTCCAGAGAGCAGGAGAGAGGTGCCCAGTCTCCTTCTGTCTGTCCATTATTTGTCTGCTCTGTCCGCCGTGGCTGTCCTAGCACCTGTGGCCTCATATCTCTGGGCTGGGAGGTGGTGGAGGGGAGGAAGGACCAGTGGGGTCTGGATTGGGTTTACCACAAATCTGTGCCTCAGATTAAGAAGGCTGAGATGGATAGGAAGACACTCGACTGGGAGATCGTGGAGCTGACCAACAAGCTGCTGGATGCCAAGAACACCATCAATAAGCTAGAGGAGCTCAATGTACGTATACTGCACCTGTTCGGAGGGCCTTTCCTGACAGTGGTGGGGTCTGTCCTGGCTAGCCTTGCTCCCTGAGATGGGCCAGGCTGGGATCTGAAGCACATCCGTGTCTGTAGGAACGGTACCGGCTGGACTGCAACCTGGCTGTGCAGCTCCTCAAGTGCAACAAGTCACACTTCCGTAACCACAAGTTCGCTGATGTGAGTTGAGCATACCCCTTGCTTGACTGGTGCCATTCCAGCCTTTTTAGGACCCCTTACACTCAAGTTTCTGCACCTGTCTTCATCCTCCTGCATTTAGCGCCTCCTTTCTGCTTTGCCTACTTGCCTCCATGTTGCCCCTCAAGCCAGTCAGCCTTGCTGGTGTCCCCCATGTTATTGCTCATTGATAGTGCTGGGGCTAGCCCTGTTATTTTTATAATCAGAGACAAGAGACTCAGTTTGAGGACACTTTGCAGGAAAGAGGGGATGGCCAGAGCTATTGGCCATGAGTATTGAGAAAGGATTAGGCCCATGTGATCCCATCACCTCAGGAGGCAAACTGTAGACCCAAGGGCCTCAGGTCCAAGGTCAATGCAGCCTGCAAAAATAGAGGTATTTGTAGGGGTACTGATCTGTCGATTCTCCAAACAGAAGTCTGATTTGGATAGAAGCCACTGCCGAGGTAGGGGAGATAGAAATTTGAGAGTACACAGGTCTCAGCAGTAGATCTGGATTCAAATTCTGGCTGTGTTAATCAAAAATTTCAAGTTATTTTACACTGAYTGAGCCTATTTATCCATGAAATGATGTTATTCAGCAGAAAGTAAACAGTACACAGTGGTACTATATGTGGTAGCCATTAGTTTTGCTGAGTCAAGCTGTTTTCAGTTGGAATCATTCATCTCTCTCTTCCTTTTTCTGCTCCTTTATCCCAGCTGCCTTGTGAGCTACAGGACATGGTTCGGAAACATATGCACAGTGGTCAAGAGGCTGCCAGCCCAGGCCCTGCTCCTAGCCTGGCCCCAGGAGCTGTGGTTCCTACTTCAGTCATTGCCCGGGTGTTGGAGAAGCCAGAGTCTTTACTGCTCAATTCAGCACAGTCAGGCAGTACTGGGCACCCCTTGGCTGAGGATGTCTTTGTGCACGTGGACATGAGTGGGGGTGCTCCTGGTGACCCAGCTAGTCCCCCAGCCCCTGGCAGTCCCACCCTGCAACCCAATGGAGAATGCCATTCTCTGGGTACTACAGGAGGCTCCCCAGAGGAGGAGCTACCCTTGCCAGCCATTGAGAAGCTGAGTCCATACCCCACCCCATCTCCACCACACCCACTGTATCCTGGCCGCAAGGTAATAGAGTTCTCTGAAGATAAGGTTCGGATCCCTCGTAACAGTCCCCTGCCCAACTGCACTTATGCTACCCGCCAGGCCATCTCCCTGAGTCTGGTGGAGGAGGGGAGTGAACGGGCCCGCCCTAGCCCTCTACCCAGCAGCCCTGCCTCGGCCCAGGCCTCACCCCACCACCAACCCAACCCAACACCCCCAACACTCAGCACCCCTGCCAGCTCAGCCAGCTCTGAAGAGGACCTGCTAGCCAGCTGGCAGCGTGCATTTGTGGACCGCACTCCACCACCTACTGCTGTGGTCCAGCGCACCGCCTTTGGGCGCGATGCACTGCCTGAACTGCAGCGCCATTTTGCCCTTAACCCTGCTGACAGAGATGAGGTGGTTCCAGTACCTTCTTCCCTACCTGATGAGAGTGGGCTTTTGCTGCCAACAGAACCTGACTCTGGTTTTCCCAGGGAGGAGGAGGAAGAAGAGTTGAACCTGCCCATCAGCCCTGAAGAAGAGCGTCAGAGCCTGCTGCCTGGTGGTAGGGGGACAGAAGGGCCTGGCACTTCCCATCCTGAGGGCAGGGCCTGGCCTCTTACCAGCTCTAGCCGCCCACAGCGCAGTCCCAAGAGGATGGGGGTGCACCATCTTCACCGCAAGGACAGCCTGACCCAGGCCCAAGAGCAGGGCACCCTGCTCAGCTAGGCCCACTTGCTTTCCTGCTGATGTTGCATTGGGCCTGCAGAAGGCCTAGGCGCTTGAGCTCTTCCTTCCCACACCTGCACAGCTCTGTTCCCTGTGTGAAAGAGAGGCCACACTAGGTCTTTCAGCTGCATTGACACTGGCACCAGCTTGCCTCATTCATGATTTTTTTTTCCTTTTCTTAGAATATTTATTTTCCAAAGGTAACATGCAATTGGGTCTCAAGTCCTGTCCTCTAGTCAACCAGCTCAAATTGGGCTGTTCTGGGGAGCCCAGGGGCTTGCTTATCAGTGTTCATCTTCCATCCTCCTTTTATATTCATGAGCTTTGGTTGTTTTGGGGGGTATTACTGGGGTTATTAACCTCTTAATTTCTGATTCTTACCAGTTTTTCTCTGCACAAGCTGCTGCCCTCAAGGGGCCTGGCCCAGCTGGGCCCAGGGATGAGGGAGCAACTGACTCAGGGCTCCCCTCAGATGTTTCCTCCCTCCCTCTGGAAGGGAGGGTGGGCTTTAGGGGCCTCAAAGTGGGTTCTGGGTTAGGCCTGGCCCCATTCTTAACCTTGGCTCTAGACTGTTACTCCCAATTTTGGGAAATTTCACATTGATGACTATTTTAAAAGCAAATAAAATTATTTTACTGGTATGGCCTTATTTTCCTTAATGACCTTTCCTCTCCCATTCTTCTCCCCATTCTTGAGCATTTTCATATTTTCAGACCTAGTTTTTGCCAGTGACTCCCCTTAACACATTCTGCCTATGGTGTCCCTGTGCACAGAGCAGCAAGCAGCAGAAGGGGCACCCACAACCTTAGAGCCCCTGGATCTCCCCTCAGTAAGTAGGGTTCAGTCCAGCCCTGCTTTGGAAGTATTCTCTTTTTTTAGAATCTTCATGGAGCTTGTGATGTGTCACCCAGAATCCCAGGTCCTAGACCTGGGCTAGGCTTATTGGGAGAGTGTGCTGCCTGGTGCTTGGGCGGTGGGGTGATACTGCCCCCTAATGGTGCCTAGTGGTTAAGTTCCTCCCATCTCTGGGTCCCCAGTGACCACTGCCACACACCAGGTTGGGGAGTTTGTAAAATCTCTTCCGAGCCAGCGGGTTGCAGTCAAGAACTGCCAACAGGTCCAGAGGCCTTGCCCTGGGTTCAGCACCCCCACCCCCACCCCATAGCCATTGCCTAGTCACAGCTTCCAGAGCCTCCCACTAGTACCAGGAGCTGCCAGAGCCCCAAGCAACCCCTTTCCCCAACCTCCCAAGCCCCAGACGTTCCACCCCCTGACATCTGGAGGAAGGTGCTGAGGACATAGACAAGTGTAATGACGTGCAGAAGCCCAAATGGAGAGTCACATCTCGGTTTCAGCCAACAGACTGTCCCCTAGTCCTGATGTCATTAGCACCATCTGAGAGCTGGGATCTGTGGAAAGGCAGAAGGGTGTTCAGATCATCACTTGTTCCTCAGTGGGGACCACACACAGAGGGGAGATGGCATAGGTTTCCACACCCACTCTCCTTGTCCCAAATCTCTTTCAGACTGGTTCTAATTAGCCCTCTGGGTTCTTACCGCTGGGGCACATCCAGGAGCTGCTGCCCCTCTGGTGGGCAGCAGGCTCCCGTCCTCTCTCCCATTCCTGGGTGTCGCCAGTCCCTCCTGCCACCTCCTCTTCCTCTTCCCCCTCAGAGAGTAGGTCGCAGATTTGCTGCTGCAGCTCTGGGCTGATGCTGTTCTCAGCCAACACTAGGCTCCGCAGAGCTGTGGGATAATTTTCTACCATGTCCAGCAGGGTCTGGGGGTGGGGAAGAGTATAGAAAAGGTTGAACACAGTTAAGACAGGTCCTCAGACCCAACCTACCACCCCTTAGGTTATGTCCACAGACACACTAACCTCCACCCTAACCCTCTGGCCTGTCCCCAAAACATGAAGACTTCTCACCTGAGCTGACTGGTTCGTAAGCCCTGTACCCTCCAAATCTAGGACTTCTAGGGTACGGCTGGAGGCTACAGCTACAGCTAGCATCCCTGCCACATGGTCACCTAGGGAGAAAGCACACATTCATGTACTCACACACAGGGATTAACCCTTTCTCCTGGTCAGCTCCCCCATTACACTAACAACCTTAGACCCAGCTCCTGGCTAGGAGACCCTAATTGATAGTGGCCAAGAGTGTAGCATTGTGATTAATGAGTGAAGAGAGGGGGTGAAGGGGCGTAAAGGCTGGTTGGTGGGAAGGCAGGAGGTGGCAGGAAGAGTACGTAGAATACGTGCAGGGTGATGGTTTGCTCAACCTGTTGGTCATCTATTGCTCCACACAGGATTGCTCATCTACTACCAACTAGATCCTGGGGGGGGGCCTCTCCTTCCTCTTCCCTCCCCCAGTGTTGGGGCCACCATGGCAACTGGTGGTCACAGTTTCTTGGATAGTGCATGGGGCCCTGAGAACTGAAGGAAGTGGTCTTGAGACTCACCCAGGGGGTTGTAGTCCAGATTGAGGACGCGGACTTGGGAGCTGTGGGCCACAGCAATGGCGAGTCGGCTCCAGCCCTTAGGGGTGATGCCAGGGTTGGCGCTCAGCGTTAGCTCTTTCAAGCCTGGGCAACATTGTAATGAGAAGCCAGGATGGGGAGAATCAGTCTCTCATTCAGCCCCTTTCCTACCTCTGGGATATCCCTAGTGGCTGGGGAGCCACTCCATCCCCAAACACAGAGCTCCAGAGCCAGTGAGGACCCATGCCTCCCCTGCCTGGCCCTGCCTGGATCCCTGAGTCTTCACCCTGCTCAGTGTTCAGCCCCCGTTTCCTGAGTAAAAAACACATTCTCAACCACACCCTCGGAGGACCACACCCCCTTCCCACTACATTTTTTTTTTTTTTTTTTTTTTTATCAAGGCCACACTAGCCTATGTCCTCAGTAGAACCCTGCTCACCGGACTTGGCCCCATCTGGGGGGAGGAGGCCACAGATGAGGTTGATAGCTTCATCACCCAACATGCAGTCCCCGAGGTCGAGAGCCACGAGGGCAGGGTGGAGGGCCAGGGCTGGGTTCAGCAAGGCCAGCCCAGCGTCTGTCAGGGGGCTCCCATGCAGGCTGGGGGGTGAGGCAAGAGAGCAGTTATTGTAGTCATTAGCCTTATCTATTTGGGAAAGGGGCACCTCCCCTGAGAGGCCTGGTTAAGGAAGAATGAAAATTCTCAGTTGGAAGGCGAATTTGCTTGCTTTTCTGGGGCAGGGACTGGAATCCAGGACATTGCAGAGGGTGGGGCATAGAAGGGGTGTGGGTGTTGGACTGAATTCTTCTGTGGGCACGCAGGTAGTCTCCATGGGGGTATTCTTTCTTGGGAACTGAAGGGCTGCCCCCGTGAGGTAAATGCGGGTGGGGAGGTGGGGAGATATGACAGGTCCTGCCAGGACGGGTTGGGTATCCCGTTTCGTGTGGGGCCGCCTGGGCAGAGATAAGGCATGTGCTTGAGGGATGGGCAGAAGGATGAGGTGTGTGTATAGGGGCGTAAAGGCTGGCTGGTGGCAAGTCAGGTACTAGAAAGTGGAGGAACAGGAGGTGGCAGGAGGAGTACGTGGAGGGGTGCAGTGCCCCCGGGACCCCCTTGCGAGGGGGCGCACTCACAAGAGGGACTGGATGGAGCGGTTGGTTCGCAGCGCCTCCGCCAGCTGCTTGATGCGGCTGGGGCTGGACACGACGCCTAGATTAAGATTGAGYTGAGCGAGGGACGTGGCCCCGGCCAGGGCCCGGCAGATGCGGCCGAAGTCGCGGTCGCAGAGGCGGCAGCCGCGCAGGGAGAGCAGGCGCACGGCGTTGTCGCGCAGGCCGCGGCAGATGTCCCGCACCTCGGCGCCTGACAGCGGCTCCCCGGAAATCTGGATGGAGCTGGGCAGCATGGTACCGGCGGCTGGGCCGCCGGGGCCCGGGCCGGGGCCGGGGAGGAGGTTGGCCGGGTCGCGGGCGAGGCCGGGGCTGGGGCTGGGGCCGGGGCCCTGGCTGGGGTCGCGGACGGAGCGGGGGAGGAGGCGGAGGCAGAGGTGGAGGCGGCGGTGTCGGCGGCGGCGGCTGAGGCAGTGGCTGCAGCGGCGGCCGCAGAGGAGGAGAAGCGCGCCGGGGCCGGGACCGGGGCCGGGGCCGGGGCCGCCGCGGGCCGGGCTGAGACCGAGCAGCGCTGGGGCGGGGGCGGACCGTGCCGTCCGTGTCTGGGCGGCGGGCCGGGGTGCGAGGTCCGGAGGCTGGGCAGGCGCTTCCTGGCGCTAATTCTTGTCCCTCGCGGTTTCGGCACCGGCGGCTCAGGGGCGTAGCCTCAGGACGTGTGGGACGGTCCCGGTTCGGAGGCCGCACGCGTTCCCTCCCTGTCTCCGGCCCTGTTCCCCCGGCCGCCCCGAGGGCCCAGCCGCCCCACTCGCAGGGAGAGCCCCAAGCGGGCGGCGGGCGGGCGGCAGCTCTAGCTTCAGCTCCTGCGCCCGAGCCGGCGGCGGGTTCCCAAGGCAACGGTCGCGTCACCGCACTCGCCCCGCCCCCTGCCCGGCCTGGTCCACGCCGGCCCACCAGGCTCGTGCACACCGGGTGGTTCTGGGCTAGGAGCTCCAGCGGAGAGACATTCTTCCCCCTGGATGTAGGGGCCAGACATCAKGCGGAAAGAAGGCATTGGGCTGAGGCCTGGGAAGGGCAGCCGTGTGTGTTTATATATATGGAGGCACATTACGTGGAGATGGCGTTTGGCTGTTATCGGACCCATCCTCCCATCTTTCCCCATTCAGGTCTAGACCCTTGGCACCCTCGTCAAGATCCTGGACACTCCCCTCTCCGGTAAGGAAGTCCCTAGGCCCTTTAATCCGAGCCTCGCCCCGCCCCTCCCCCTTGCCCCAGTGACGCGAGGCGCAGCGTGCGTGGGGATTCCCGTCGGTGAGGACTTCCCCCGCCAGCTTCCCGTTAGACCCGCAGCCTGGGAGAGGGCCCCAGGCGACAGCCAAACTGAACTACGGTGCCCTAACTGTCGCTAATGCGGATGCGGGACCCTGGTACCGCTCCATCCCCCGGCGTTGCGGTGTAGGGCGCTGCTGATGTCTTGAAGTTGTCTTTGAGAATGGGGCAGCCAAAATAAACTGGTGCCTGGATCAGCGACCTGGAATGGTGGCGGGAACTGCATGAAGCCAGCTGGGGCACGACGCACAGTGCAAGTAGAATCTTGTCCACTGCTGATGGTGGTGAGGCCTCACTTGTCTAGCAGGGCAAATCAAGGGCATTTTAAAAAATATATTTTAGTTGAAAATGGACCTTAATTTTATTTATTTGCAGTTTTGAGAATTGAGCCCAGTGCCTCACATATGCTAGGGAAGTGCTCTACCACTGAGTAGGACCCCAGCCCTCAAGGGCACTTCTGCTAGTTCCTTTGGAAATATGCTGTTGTTCCAGGCTTACAAGAACAATGGCAATTTTTTTAAAAAAAGTAATATTACTATTGTGAAACCAAAGACACTACTCCCTCTGCTATCTACCTGAATTAAACAGAGCAGATCAAAGGGGTAGAGGGAATAGGTGGTGCCATACTAGTTTTTTTTTTTTTTTTTTTTTTTTTTTTATGAATAATGGTACTCTTGAAGGAAGTGGAAGGCCAGAGGAAACTCCTGAAGGGAGCAGGCCAGCTTAAAACAGGGAACAGCTAAGTTTAGCTTCAGATGTGAGCTCCTTGGGAAAATAACCCCACAAGGGCCCATGTGCACAAGGTCCTTGTAATGATACGGGATTTAGTCTGGATGTTTTTGTCTAGTTGCCATTGCTCCACTGGCTTCCCCAAAATGCTGCTGAGCTCAGACTTCATCTGATACTGTTTCATGAGGCTTAAGCCTCTTGTGGGCTCCTTGCCATTCCATGGGTCAGGAATCCCCTACCCTAGGGCAAATTCCATGAACAGTCACTGACATCTAAGTAGTTAGGCCTGTCTCACCTTCATCCCTTTTGTGTGAGGGCATATAGAAGGGAACATGGGACTACTGATGATGAACAACAAGAACTTGTATAAGAAGTAGGGTGACAAGGAGAACCACTGGAACAGTAACTGCAGTTCCAGACTTCAATCAATATTTTAATTACCAAGTCTATATTTAGCAAGACAAGAGGGGCACAGAAGTAGGAAGGGGTAGGTGGTATGGGGGCCTCAGAGAAGCTGACCCACTTTCTGCACTGGCTGCAGAGCTTTGCAGTCCTGGCCAGAATTTCCTGGCCTTGTGCCCTTCAGAAGCCCCAACAGGCATCAAAGAGGTACTTAAGCAGCTACAACTCAGTGGCAACTGCAGACCCCATCAGAGACCCATGTCACCAGTACTGTCCTTTAATCTTTCTCTGCTCCACAGTTGGGAGAGACAGGGCTGGCCAAGGATTTCAGGTGGGGTCAGTGTGACTGCATGGTCACTGCAAGAGCCTTGGCTGTGGCATTGAGCAAGGTGGTGGGAAGTCTGGCAGCAGGGATCCCAGCAGGGACATCCCTGGGAACTCTCTGCATAGGTGGGATGTTAGGGCCCTCCAGTGTGTCCAGGATCCCTGAAAGAAGGAAGAGGAAAGGTGAGTGCTACTGGGTCTAGTCTACAGGTTGCTTCATCTAGCCCCCAACCTTGGGCCACCATTCTGCCCCTCCCCCTCGTTTAGGCCCTCCTTCCACTTACCCTCTACCACCTTGTGGTAGGCAAAATGCAGATAAAGCAGGAATAGCATATGCAGGGCAGCCAGGGTGCCACAGAGGAGTAGCCGCTGGGTGGGGCCTACAGTCCGTGATACCAACACTGCCACCTAGGGCCACAGGAATACAGTTCAGAGGGAGTGGTTTCAAAGTGAGGGATGGGGGAATACACCTGCACCCAGGGCAGGATGGTTATGGGTCCTTCCTTTCCACTTAGAGCCCTCTGTGGAGTGCACAGCTCAGGCTGTCTCCCCCAACTCCCTGGGAGGACAACTCACCCATGGAAACCTCTTGCTCAGCTTACCATGCGCAGGGTGGACAGCCCACCCACCAGCAGCCAGAAGAGGTAGAAGAGGGCATGGAGGTGGATGTTATAAGTGATGAACAGGACAATGCAGTGCCCAAAGAGACCATAGCCCTGGAAAGAAGGGTGGTGAAGAGGAAAATCATTCAGTCTGGGCTGGCCTCTGACTCCTCAGGGGGGGCCCTGGGAATAAATGCTCCACTGGCCTGCTCCTCTCATTCCAGGTCCAGAGCCTCCCAAGACCGATGCAGACCAAAGCCTTACTACTTTTAAAAAAATTGCCCTTGCCCACTACCATGCCTGGGTCCTTACCAGCAGTGCCAACATCTGGAGCATGGTGATCTGGGCGTTGCACAAGTAGGCCAGGAAGTAAATGAAGGACGAGACGCCCAGCCAGTAGCCAAAGCAGGTGCCAATGGCTGTGCCCATCAGGGTGCCTTCCCGCTGTAGGGTGAAGGTTCTACTCAGTCCTGGGAGACCTCTGACCTCAGCCTCACCCAGGGCCTGCTTCTGCCTCACTCCACCATCCTGTCCTTGGGCAGCTTTCAACCTACATCAGCCCCCCTTCTCCCAAAGTCCTCTGTTCAGCTTACAATAATGGTGTCAGATGTCTTCATCCCATGGAGGAGGATGGCAACCAGTGTAAACACCAGCATGAGAGGTCCGTAAAGTTCACCAGCGATTTTCTGTCAAAATAGCAACTCACTCATTTTGGTGTATACAACGCCTCTTCTCTTTATACCTTCATAGGCTTGACTTGATGGTCCCACCCTTTGCCTTGGATGCCTCCCCTGGCTCTCCAGACATGCTACCCCCTATTCACCTGGGGGAAGTTGACCATCTTGATGGGGATCATGGACTCCAGGAGCCTGGGAGAGGAGAGGAGAGATGAAAGCAGAGACAGCACTATTCTGTGAAGTTCTGGAGGACAAGGCCTGAACCTTCATCTCTCTAACTCCAAGGAATGGGGCCTGGCCCAGAGGACATGCTGGATGACAGGGGGAAAAAAGGGTAGTGAAGACAGTAATGAAGAAATCATTTCCTTGACCCTAAATATACTTTCAGGAAGGACAACCCTCTCTGAAAGCAAGCTGACTGGATCTTGGGAGAGGACCTGACCATTTATCTACTTGACCATTTTCCCTTCAAAAGACAGGCAAACCTCAGAAGAGTACCCAGAATTCAGGGCTATGATGGTGAAGTCCTGGGAAGGGTTTAGAAGGAATGGTATTACTACTGAAAAAAAGTGTGCCTCCTACCTCTTCCTACTTACCATCCCTCCAGGCAATGCTGAGCATTTTCTTGAAAAATGTATTTGAAGTGATATAAAAATTCCACACAGTAGGAATAAAAGTAGTCAATTCTCCACTGACTTTGTAAGTGCCTGGCTCTTTTTAAAATCTTGGGTTTTTAGTTAGATGATATTATTATTATTATTAATTTTGGCACTGGGGATTGAATTCAGGGGCACTTAACCACTGAGCCACTCCCCTGTCCTTTTACTTAGACAGGGAATCACTGAGTTGCTTAGGGCCTTGCTAAGTTCCTGAGGCTGGATTTGAATTTGCAATCCTTCTGCTCAGCCTCCTGAGCTGCTGGGATTGCAGGTGTGAGCCACCGTGTCTGGCTAGATATTACTTTTTATGGGAAGTCTGCCCTGTCCCATCCACCAGCCTTCTCAGGCTTAGATGTCACATCTGCATGCCTTGATATAGCATAGGGATACTTTATTGTAATTGCCAGGATAGGCTCGGCACAGAACAAAAGCTTAATAATACTTGCTGTTTAATAAACAATGGTCAAATTAAAGGATGAACAAAGAACCAAGCCAAGTTTAAATCCAGTTGTTGAGAAGTCATTTAGCAACTATACCCTGATATTCTGCTTTTCAAGCATTCTSGTGCCAGGAAAAAAATAAAGACAAAGCCAGCTTTTGGGGATGGTCTCTGGAGAGACAGACACAGGAATGAGAATGTATTGCAGTGCTTAAGTACCATCTGTCAGAGGCAAGTACAGAGATCCATAGTGGCACCAGGTGAGAACAAACTGGGAGTGGATTAGGAATGCAGAACAAAGGAAGTGCTGGATGAGCCAGGTTTTGAGGGATGAGTAGTGTGCTAATGAAAAAAAGGAGGAAGGCAAAGTGTTATTACCATTATGTTCAGTGATGAAGTCATGAAGTGGGGGAGCCCACCAGAGTGTGGAACTTGGCATCTGGTTGTAGTTTGAAGGAAGGATTAGGTGTTAGGAGGGAAGCTTCTGTCAGGAAAAGAATCCTCACCTGCTTCGCACCTGGGCAGGCTCCACATCAAAGTAGGGTCTCAAGATGTCAATGTTGGCATATAAGCTGAAGGCCCTGGAGGCTTGTCTCTTCCCTGCCTGCCACATCTGAAGGGAGATGGAGGATGGGTATTATGAGACTTGTGATTCTAGACCCTGTTGCCTATTTTGTGGTGGGTTTCTTCTTCTTCCTTTTTTTTTTGGTACTGGAATAGATCCCAGGGAAGCTTTACCACTGAACTACATCCCCAGTCTCTTATTTGAAGACCAGGTCTCATTAAGTTGTTGATGGTCCCATTAAATTGCTGAGGCTGGACTCAAGCTTGTGATCCTTTTACCTCAGCCTCCAGAGTCACCGAAATCACAGGTAAGTGCCATTGCATCCAGTCTTTCTATTGGATTTTATCAACTGGAGAACATGGGATATACCTAGGTATACTTTTCCACCTGCCAGGGATTAAATCTTTCTTACTTGATCAGCCACCTGCCGGCTCAGCTGTCCCTTAAAGCCCTTCATGCCCAAGAACTCCCCATCTTCTTCTTCCACAGCAGCTGCATCTGCATCAACTTCTTCCTCACGCAGGCGCTGATGCAGCTCACCCATATCCTCGAAGCTGGAGCCTGAAGTATCATCCATGTTCTCCATGTCAATCACAGCTGAGCCCCCACCCTGTAAAGACAATGGCTCCTAGAGTGCAGGACCTTTCTGTTCTATCTGTTGGGTTCTCTGCTCATCCCAGGGTTTGGGGCTTAGTTCTTCCACTGCCCAGGGCATGGCTTGGAATCACTACAGATCATGCCACTCTTCTTCCCCCTCATTTGCCCTCATAACCCTTGGTTGCCTGCTTTTGGCATTCTTCTAGCCCGGGGAAACCTATTATTTTCATGCTTTCTCCTACCTTCCTTATAATAAAAGCCACAAATGACTGCAAAAGTGACATTTCTTTTATTTTACCCAAGTCCTGAACACAACTATGCACACTGTGTTTTTGGCGAGTGCCAGTGAACTCCATGCCCCGCCATGCTTGGCCTTGATCGACTTCCTAACTAGTCCGTAAGCGCACTTTTCCCTCGCTCCTCGGACCAGAGACCCGAGGCTCTCCGGATGTAGTACCGGTCTGGCCCTTTCAGGTCAGCACTATTACTACTGATTTTCGTGTGCAGGAAGACCCAAAGGAGACAAAAGATAATGCAAATGGAGAAGACTTCCAGGCCCCAAGAGAGAATCCCAATACTTCAGGACGGCTGCCGGCCCTGGGGTTGCTGGCAGCAAGAAATCTGAGGACATTACCTGGATGTTTTCTTCGAAGCCTCCCCATTCCGGGCCAGCTCCGTTTCGGGCGCTGCCGACCGGCGCCGCAGTAGTTGCCATGTCCCTCGAGGGCTCCCGTCGCTGAAGCCCGCGCTAGCCCTGTGCGCGTAGGAAGAGTAGGCGAGACGTGGGCCTGAGCGAGCGAGATGGCTTGGGAAGAGAAGGAAAGGTAGTATCAGCCGGAACGCAGAAAAGAGAAACCCGGATGTTTGGCCCAAACTAACTTCCGGAAGCTGGGGACGTGGACGGAGGTGGGGCAACGTCTCGCGATATTTAATGCTTTAGGAGGCGGAGGGTTGCCCCAGAGACCGAGGAGTACTACTGGAACGCACGCGCTCCTGAAAGTCTCGTGGAGAAACTCAAGATGGCGGCTGCCCATGCGGTAGAGGAGATGCGGAGTCGTGTGGTTTTAGGGGAGTTTGGGGTTCGCAATGTAAGTCTAATAGCATTGAGGTGAGGAGTAGGAATGAGAACGGAACAGGGATAGGGTGGGGATCGAAGTGGGGATGGACTTGGCTTCTCTGCAGTTTCGTGGACAGATGAGATTTCTTTTTACTCTAGGTTCATACCACTGACTTTCCTGGTAACTATGCCGGATATGATGATGCCTGGGATCAGGACCGTTTCGAGAAGGTGAGTTGGGCCGAAGGTGTCTGGAGTGGGTATGAGGGCTGCTGGAACGTGTGATCTGAGGCAGCTTGTGATTCAGAAGCTGTTCTTGGGGATCGCTCCATTCATAGAACGTTTATTGAGCAATGTGTACAGGCCAAGTCAGACACGTTTCTAATCTGTTTTACGAGGAAGACGATGTTCTGTCTTGTTGGGGAGTAACGCACTTAAACAATTCTAGTCTAATGTAAATGCGGTTGATAGAACGGTGGGGATGGGGTGGCAGCATCCTGCAGAGGCGCTTAAGTCTAGACTGGGAAAGGGGACGGAGGTACGTTTTCATGAACGAGGTGACATCTGAATTGAGGCTCGAGTGAGTAAAAGCCGAGGACAGTAAAAGGTGAGGAGGGCAAGAGCTAACTTACAAAGGCAGATGTGAGATGGGCTGACTATGTCCTGGCTGGTCATTATTACTAGAAAGTGTGCTAGCAAGAGTGGTAGACAAGATTGGAGTGCGCCTTATCCACTATAGGTGATGGGGAGCTTTTGAGGAGTTCTTCAGGCATGATCAGATTTGCAACCGTTGATGGCTGTGCAGATTGAGTTTGAAGAGGATCATACCCAGCAAGCAGATAGATCTGCTGGATTGTATAGGCAAGCTAAGAGTGAAGGCATGAATTTAAGACTGATGGTGGAAATAGAGCACTGGGGGCATGGCAGGTAAATTTGTGATTGCTTTGATAAAATGACCTTCTGGCTTGAGGAATTGCTTTGATGGATGGTGGTATCATCTACTGAAATGGTTGGGGAACAGGAATGATGTCTTCAGTTTCCTGCATGTGGAGAAGCCAAGCAGGCCAGTAGATTATATTTGCAATTATATCAGAATTGAGAAAATTTGGGGACTTGTCTGAAGTAGTTGCTGAAACCCTGAATGTGATTGAGGTTATCTGGGAGAGAGATAAGACTCTGAGAAAAAGTAACATTTAAGGGGCGGGTGGAAGATAGTGAAATTAGAAGGAATCCTTAGGGAAGGAAGAAAACAATATTGGTGCTCAGAAACCAAGGAAACAAATTGAAAAAGGAGGGATTTTTTTTTTTTTTAAATTAATAATGTCAAGTGCTACTAATAGTCAAGGAAAGGATTGCCTAGAATCAACTGGACTACACTGTATGGAAGTTTGTGTTTTTTAGGGTATCATCTGTGGATGGTTCAACTGGAAGCCATATTGCATAGGGTTTTCACTTAATGGAGGACAAAACCAAAACAACTTTTGAAGAAACTAAAGGATGGTTTGGGGGAGGATGAATATCTAATGAGGGTCATCTGGGTAGAGGGAGATATTTGGATGAGGGAAGTATCCAGGGGAAAACAGAAGTATAAATAAGCAGGATTCACTTCTAACATTTTTCCTGTCCCTCTAGAATTTCCGTGTGGATGTGGTACATATGGATGAAAACTCACTGGAGTTTGACATGGTGGGAATTGATGCAGCCATTGCCAATGCTTTTAGAAGAATTCTTTTAGCTGAGGTATTGGCAGGCATGGTGGCAAAACTGGGGTTTGTGTGGGGAACTGTATTATTACCTTACTTGTAGAATTCTCAAGCTGTCCCTCCCCTTATTTCCCCTAGAACTGTGCTGAGATTTTCTTTTCCTTTGTAAATGTAAATTTCATTAAGCATTCTTCTAGGAAGGGTTCTCTATCTTAGGAAGTAGGAAGTTGTCTGTTGTATAGGTGATTTTTTTTTTTTCCTTGAGCAGGTACCAACAATGGCTGTGGAAAAAGTCCTGGTATACAACAACACATCCATTGTTCAGGATGAGATCCTTGCACACCGCCTGGGGCTCATTCCCATTCTTGCTGATCCTCGTCTTTTTGAATATCGGAACCAAGGTGAGGGTTTGAGAAAATGAAATTTTGGGAGAGTTGGAACTGGCTCTCTTGAATAACCTAGAATTAGACTGCCTAGGTTCAAATCCTAGACTGATTACTGTATGACCTTGGGCAAATTACTCATCTTTGGGTAACATTAGTTTTCAACTGAAGACACTTGCCCTTGCCTTCCAAAGTTTGTCAAGAGGATTAATATGAAAAATGTATGTAAATCCTGTAGCATAATACCTGATACTCTTAGCTGTTCAGTAGTAAAAAGAGCTGCCTCCTCCATTTGTTCAGGAGATGAAGAAGGCACAGAGATAGACACACTGCAATTTCGGCTCCAGGTCAGATGTACGCGGAATCCCCATGCTGCTAAAGATTCCTCTGACCCCAATGAACTCTATGTGAACCACAAAGGTGAGTCAGTAGGGTGAGGAAGAGGACCCACCCGCTGGTGGGTTCTGGTTTCAGTGGCTGGGGTCTTCTGACGTGTTTTCTTTAGTATATACCAGGCATATGACATGGGTCCCCTTGGGGAACCAGGCTGACGTCTTTCCCGAAGGCACTATCCGCCCAGTACATGATGATATCCTCATTGCTCAGCTGCGGCCTGGCCAGGAGATTGATCTGCTAATGCACTGTGTCAAGGGCATTGGTGAGAACCCTATGGGCCTACCCTGGGTTTGATTATAGTGGCACAAAGTGTGACAGGAACTGAGCTGAGATGTTGCTGACAGGTAGAAAGTCAATAGGTTTTGTTTTATCAGTGGTTTAGGAGAATGAAGAAAGTTTCTGAAGACTGATTCTCCTCAACATTCCAGGAAAAGATCATGCCAAATTTTCACCAGTGGCAACAGCTAGTTACAGGCTTCTGCCAGACATCACTCTACTTGAACCTGTGGAAGGGGAGGCAGCTGAGGAACTGAGCCAGTGCTTTTCACCTGGTGTTATTGAAGTACAAGAAGTGCAAGGTATGGTGTTTGGGATGCTGTTCAGATGAGGATCTGTTTTCTTTTGAAACTGACAAAAAGAAATAAAAGCTTTGGACCCTAATAGACAAAGTATGACAGGATTTGTTTTCATTAGGTAAAAAGGTGGCCAGAGTTGCCAATCCCCGGCTGGATACCTTTAGCAGGGAAATCTTTCGGAATGAGAAGCTAAAGAAGGTTGTGCGGCTTGCCCGTGTTCGAGATCATTACATCTGTAAGAACTGGTAGAGTGTATGCCTGTGGATACTTTTTATTGCTAGAGCTTCCTTTCAGAGTCCATATGTGGAATTTAGAAATAATTTATAACAGCTTCCTAAAGAAAAGTCCTGCCTGGGCTGAAGTAGTGTTTCTTTGGTTCCCAGTTTCTGTAGAGTCAACTGGAGTGTTGCCACCAGATGTGCTGGTGAGTGAAGCTATCAAAGTATTGATGGGCAAGTGCCGGCGCTTCTTGGATGAACTAGATGCAGTTCAGATGGACTGAGGTTTGGACCAGAAATACTGGGATGTATGGAGTTGGATGCTCCTGGGTTCTGACCTGCCCCAAGGGGACTACTATACTCAGTGTGACTAGAGGTCTAATTCCAGCTTTATTTTCCATCAATACATTTTGTTAAATGTGCTACAGAATGAGACTTTATGCCTTTGTAAGGCCTTTGATGTAAATAAATTCATGTCCAAACAAAATCTTTTAAGACTACTTCTTGACTTTGAGTCTCAAGGTATGGGGCCTCATCTCAGAACAGGTTTGGTATTTAGCAATCAAGAACATTGGATTCACTGCCAATGTCAGTGTAAGTTAAGGCCAAGTTTTTTTTTTTTTTGGTAGTACTGGAGATTGAACCTGGGGCCTTGAGTGTGCTAAGCAGGCACTTTACCACTGAATTACATTCCCAGCCCTCGAAGCCAAGTCCTTTTAGAAACTTCCTGCTGGGCAGACCTGTAGCAGCTCTCCAGAATGAGGCAGGAGGATTGTGAGTTCAAAGCCAGCCTCAGCACAAGTGAGGTGCTAAGCAATTCAATGAGACCCTGACTCTAATTAAAATACAAAATAAGGCTGGGGGGGGGGGGTGTGAGTCAGTGGCTGAGTGCTCCTGAATTCAATCCCCAGTACCAAAAAGGCCAAACTGAGGTGCTTTCTGCGGGCACAGTCAAACCTTCTGTACAGAAGGAACCAGAGTGAATATGCCAAATTTACCTATGTCCTGGATTACCAAGCAAATTCCTTACAGAAAAAAGGGTTGTCCATAGCAGTTCAACTGAACTATGTTTATCTATAAAAACAAAAACCAGGGTCAGGCCCAGTAGCCACACAGGAATGGTGCCTAGAGGTAGTCTAGAAAAAGACAGTTTCCTAATTGGCATACTATTTCAGAAAGCTTAATAATAGACCCATCAGTCACAATTTTCTTCCTGTCTAGTTCCCCCTACAGGTTGCTCAATGAAGATGTTAACCCTGGAACATGTCACTGGTTTAAAGACCAATTTGAAAAAGGCAGATAGGGCCCTTTCTGTATGAAATTGAGATTTTTACTGACATGCAGATGTGCTTTAGAGTTAAACATTTCTACAAAAAGGTTCTATAAACAATAGAAAATTCCTAGCATGAAGTCACAGAATGTTAAAAATATTACAACATAATAAATACAACTGTACCCTCCACAGCCCCAACCAAATATAGTAGGCGGCAGCGATCAAGTTTGGAGGGAGATATTCTTTGAGATCACCTTCACAATCGATAGAAGCCCAAAGCACCTTGCAGAAAAAGGGAACAAACTTGTGCAACAGAGACACAGCTTTGCTTCTCTCCAACCTTGTAGTGCCTGTGACCTGCACCAGCTAAAAGCTGCAGGCTTCTGTCTACTCTCTCACTGAAACCCTAATTTGTGAACTGGATGGATGGCAGGCCTGTCCTGTGCAGAGCACATAGGCATTCTGGTTTCTATATGGATCAAGGCTGCCTTGTGATAATTACTTCAGGGGGTGGGTCCCACATCCACATTTCCCTCTGCTTCCAGGGCCTTCCAGTGACCTCTAGGATGGACTCAGTACAGGTTGTGATAGATATAATTTTTTTTTTTTTTTTTTGGTACTGGAGATTGAACCTGGAGTGCTTTACCACTACGCCACATTCCCAGTCCTTTTTTCCCCAATTAAGACAGGGTTTCTCTAAGTTGCTGAGGCTGGCCTCAAACATGTGATCCTTCTGCCTCAGACTGCTGGGATTACAGGCACATACCACCCCACCTATGTATTCTTTTGGAAATGACCCTTGAGAAAAGCAACCAGGGGCATGTAAGACCACGAGATTTTTAAAGGCACCTGGGACTCAGCTAGTCCTAGAAGGAGACCAGTGGCTTTGCTAGCTGCTTGTCACAGATGTTAAGTCTAGATGATCTGGATTATCCTTGGATGACAATGGTGTCATGTGACACTGAATAGGGTACTGTGGCTCTAATGCCTGAGTAGATCCCGACACTGCAGAAACCCTTGAGTCAGGGTCATTTATGAAAGGGCGAGATGTGTGAGCTTAAGGGGGGATATTAGCACTAAACCTTACCCAGCCTTGGTTCCTGGAGATACTACACTTGATATTGTGCCCAGACTTAAATAGTAGCCTGTACTATGGATCCCACTGGGTGACCAGATTCTTGATCAAAACAAAGATGAGAACTGGCCAAATTCAGCTCAGTACTTAGCACCTAAACCAGACATGCCACTGGGTGTGTGGAAGGGTCCCTGCTAGCCCAGCAGCAAGGGGCTTTGGGATGCAGTGGTCCAGGAGAAGCTCTCCGGCACAAGTGGTTGAGGGCTGAGCCCTGGCTAGGCACAGCACCCCTCGTTCCCATTTGCTTGGGTATGCTGCATAGGGGTGGGAGGGCTTGGGGAGAAGGGCTGCTCTGCTCTAGCTCTTCTTGAAAAAGCCAAAATTCCCAAATAGGATGGGAACATCTTGACAGAATGGCGTAAGCCCTGACTCCCTTTCTTGATAAGTAGAATAACTTGTGGCCCTGCACAGGGTCCACTCTTCTTCAGCTGCAGACCTGGATCTGTCTCCAGGCTGACCATGGTGGAAAGTGAGGTGGCAGTGCAAGAGGGGCCTAGAGATCAGCTATGAAGGGGGAAGAAGAGATGACAATAAAGGCCGAGGAAAGATGCCCAGGAGCTTGATTCATGGTTCAAAGATGGTGGCCAGGCTGCCCCCCTCATTGTCCAGCACCTCTGTCTCCAGCATTGGCTTTGTTTTTTTGAAAAGCGAGGGAAGATTCTTAATGTGAACTTCTTTTCGGAATTGCTCTCCCAAGGGTTTCTGTAGAAAACAAATGAGAAAAGACTAATGCTGGGCCTGGATAGTGGGTTAGAGAACATCCCACCATAGTGGTCAATGACTACAGTTGGATTATGGTTACCTACACATGTGGTCTAAGAAGACCACAAACAACCTTGTAAGGTTGGGAATACTGATGGAGGTGCATAACCTACCCCGATGCAACCAGCAATGAGGCGTTTGAATTGGTCCTTCCGTCTCTTGTCAGCCACTTTCTGTAGGGAGGGGTTCAAAAGTTTGCAGTCAAACTGGTCCAGAGAGTCCTTCTGTATTTCTGGAATTTGCTCCATCACAGCTCTGATCTCCAAGTACCTGGGGCGCTAAAAAGTGGGGATAAACTCAATTGATGTAAGTTTGGACCCTGCTACCCCACCACAATGGCAACACTAGCAATTTGGCAGATATCTACTTTTAGGATAAGGCCCACAATCCTGGAAATAGGCTGAGTGAAAAAGCCACAGATGCCTTGTCCCCATGCTCTTGCCACTCACCAGTGCCTCATATATCTGGAATGCCAGGTGGACCAGGGAAGCCATGCACCCGTCATGCTGCCCATGTGTCTGTAAACCTTTCAGCACACTGGTGAAAAGCCACGTGACGGCATCTGCGAGCAGTGTCCCTGACAGCACCTGGGGAGACAGCTGTGCTCAGGGCCTTCTCTGAAGGTCCCAACTCCCCAATTCTTCCAACTGATTCAGTCAATCTGCTTGACCCACACCTTATGTGATAGTCAGGGAAAAGGAGTGATTAAACATACTTGTTTGAGGAGAGGCCAGCAGAGCTGTGTGGTTGTCCTCTGACAAGAGAGAGTATCCTTCCAAGACAGTGAATTGAAGGCTGTGATTAACAGTGCTGTGCAAACATCCTGAACAGGAAAGGAAGGATTAATATGGGAAAATAAGTACAAATTCTTAGACTTTTTATACATCAGGAGCTGTTTTTTTTTTTTGGGGGGGGGGGGCTACTAGGGATTAAACCCGAACCTGGGTGGCTTAACCACTGAGCCACATCTCTAGCCCTTTTTTTTATTTTGAGAGAGGGTCTCACCATGTTGCTTAGGGCCTCACACTAAATAGCTAAGGCTATTAGCTGCCTCAGTTCCCTGCCTCAGTTCCCTGAATTGCAGGGATTAGATTATAGTCATGTACCATCATGCCCAGGAGTTAAAATTTTTAATAAGTAATCAGGAAAATATCGAAGCTTTACTGGGTTTTATTTTTGCTTATCAGGCAGTCAAAAAGAAAATGACAATATGGGAGATGTAGTGTAAGACAGAGACAAAACCTTAAGCCTGGGGGAGGCTAAACACAGGGATTTTGAAACAATATGCCTATTTTTCTGAGAGCTTTAGCCCAGGGTGAGACAGTGGCATCACCTATCCCCTCCACCCACCTCATGCTTCATCAGACATTTTCCCAGGTCTGTAAGCTCCGCCATAGCTGAAGGGGTTACCTCTGTGGCCATCATTTCTTCATCTGTAAGCAGAGCAGAATGTTAAGCTCCATCTTTTCACAACACAGAAGAATTATCCTGTTCTGACAGAAGCCCAAAAAGCAAAGTTGAGTGTACTGGACTGGCTGATGCTTAGTATTAGGTCACCCTCACCCCAGATGGAAGGATAAAAAAGCCCAAGCCCATGGCAGGTCTGGAGATGCGTCTAGCTGTGCATGTGAGAAACTAGGGAACTGCTGGGCAGTAACCTAAGCTGCAGATGCTGAAGATCTTTATTGTTGAACAACATGTAAGCACCCACTATGAAAGGCACTGATTTAGTTTGCTGGGGATATAAAAGGAATAGGATAGAGTCCCCTCCCTAATGGGAATTTACATTCTCATCAGGGAGACAGGTTATAAATGAATACATGAAACACAAAGATAGGTAGTGAGAAATGCCATAAAAAATACAGGATGGCTGGGTTTGCTATTTTTGATAATCTGATCATAGAAGACTTTGAAGAGGTAACATCTGAGCAGAGACATAAGTGAAATAAGAAAAGTGGCCATGTATACAACTGGAAGAAAATAATTTTTGATAGAGGAAATAGTAAGTGCAAAAGGCTCTGCAATTGGATTATGCTGGAGAAAATACAGCACAAATGCTGGCACAGATTCAGTTAATGATTACATTTCATTCTCATCAACTTACTAGGGAAACAGTTTATATAGGAACTGAACTGGTTCCAAAGAACAATACTTAGGAGTCTAAGAGCAGACCTTTGAGGTCAGGCAATAGGTTCACTTACCATCTCCATCTGCAGGGGGAGCAGTACTGTGGTCAGCACCTTTCTTTGATACACAGCAAACCGCTGAAGCAAGAAAGCAGGGGTTAATGGGTGAAGGGAGGGTTATATCTTACCACTGGACAACAGTCACTTTAGGCCAACTGGTCCCAAACTGTCTCTGGCCAGGTGAAGAGGGGAGGAAATAGGGTACTGTCAGGCACAAAAATCAGATTTACCAAGAGAAACAGAGGCATTCTTACGAATTTGTTTCCCTACCCAGAATATGTTCTGGTCCCCTTTCAAATCCAATCATCTGAGAATAAGTGATGAGGATAGACGACTGATGATACATCCCTGGCCAAAACTTTGGATCGCCAATAAATCAAATGATCAACTACTGTTTCCTTCAACATTTCCAAAAAATGGAAAAGAAAGTTAACAACCTATAAAATTTTCCCTATTTCGACAAA